ACACAATAATATCGAACGTAAACTGCAATTCACTTTAAAAATTTATATTTTTATTGATTCCAGAGAGGAAGGGAGAGGGAGAGAGATAGAAACATCAATGATGAGAATCATGGATCGGCTGCCTCCTGCACGCCCCCTCCTGGGGATCAAGCCCACAACCTGGGCCTGGGCCCTGACCGGGAATTGAAACGTGACCTCCTGGTTCATAGGTCGATGCTCAACCCCTGAGCCTCGCTGGCTGTGTTTGAATTCTTTTTAAAAGAGATATCTCCTCCTGGATTTCTCTAAGTGTCTTTAGATATTTTTTTAAACTTCAGACGCAGCACTTACCAACTGAATTCTCTGGCCCAGCGGTTCCCTGGCGGGTAGTCATCAGGAGATGCGCGCTCACAGCCGTCGTTCCTGCAATCCCGGGGGCTGGCACCCCTGGGAACGCGCATTTCCTGGAATCCAGCACCGGAGGACGACCCCCGTGGCCCCCACGCTGATCACGCCATTGATCGGTTCTCGAGTGCTAAGTTCCCAGACTCTCTTAAGGTAGACAGGTCTCTAAAGTGAGGTCACACACACGACACTCGAGAGAATGTGTGGGAACTCGTGGGCCCATCAGATGCTGCTAAAATAGATCTTAGGATGGTCATTGTAAGCGTGGACATTTAAGAGCAAAAGTGAGTCAGACTTAATCTCTCCCTGATAAACCAACGTCAGGGGATTTGGGTACCTTTTGCCCTTCCTTCTGTGTTTGCTGGGAATCGTGTCTGGTACCAAAGGCTGGGCTCGGATTACTATTAAGATAACCCGTCCTGGGGACACTCTGGAACACTGTGCCATACACCTGAAACTACTACACAATAATATCGAATGTAAACTGCAATTCACTTTAAAAATTTATATTTTTATTGATTCCAGAGAGGAAGGGAGAGGGAGAGAGATAGAAACATCAATGATGAGAATCATGGATCGGCTGCCTCCTGCACGCCCCCTCCTGGGGATCAAGCCCACAACCTGGGCCTGGGCCCTGACCGGGAATTGAAACGTGACCTCCTGGTTCATAGGTCGATGCTCAACCCCTGAGCCTCGCCGGCTGTGCTTGAATTCTTTTTAAAAGAGATATCTCCTCCTGGATTTCTCTAAGTGTCTTTAGATATTTTTGTAAACTTCAGACGCAGCGCTTACCTACTGAATTCTCTGGCCCAGCGGTTCCCTGGCGGATAGTCATCAGGAGATGCGCGCTCACGGCCGTCGTTCTGCAATCCCGGAGGCTGGCACCCCTGGGAGGTCCATCAGCGTGAGGACGCTCCGCACCCGGCTCCCTGGCACCGAGATCGCAAGTCGTGAGTATTTCTGAGCGGAGCTCACTGCAGAAGAGCAGCAGCTACAGAAATGCCGTGGGGGGCGGCGGGCACGGTCCATACCCAGTGCAATGTGAAATGACCGTAGCCTATGGCGCCAGAGGCCCTCACCGCACGCGTCTGCCAGAGGGTGGCCGGAAGGTGGCTGTGCCTCCCACCAGTGCCACGCAGGTGTCTGAGCGTCACCGGGCAAACACTCCCCCTGGGCTCGTAGCTCACGCTCAGCACCAGTGTCTGGGGATCCACCTGTGCTTAACGTTGCTTTGGCCCCTTCCTCCTTCCTTGTCATGTGTCTACTACAGAGTGTGGGCGAGGCTCTCGGCTGCCTGGAGACATGGCTGAGGGCACCCCCCTCAGTTCCCAGGGAGGCAGCTGTGAAAGGCTTTCCTTTCTAAAGTGAGGTGTGCCTGTCCTCGTCACCGCCGTCCTGAATGAGGAGGCGCGCTCCCTTCTGCACAGCTGGTATTTGGCTGTTAACAGTGTGATGCCTCACCGAGTAGCTCTTCACTGCCTGGACCACGAGCACTTTAAAGTCTTGGGGTCACAGAAGCCTTTCTGAAACATCTCACCTCAACTAAGAGCAAGACTGGAAGGAAAGGGGACCGGGAAAAGGCAGGGCAGTGTTCTCCGTTCAGTGTCAGCAAAGCAGCCACGAGCCTGTGTGCTGGTGCTGATGATGCTGATGGTGATGATGACAGTGATGACGATGATGATGATGGTAATGATGGTGATAATGGTGATGGTGATGATGGTGATGACAGTGATGATGGTGATGATGCTGGTAATGATAGTGATAATGGTGATGGTGATGACAGTGATGATGATGACAGTGATAGTGATGGTGATGCTGGTGCTGGTGATGATGATGATGACAGTGAGGATGGTGATGATGATGATGATGATGGTAATGGTGAAAATGATGGTGATGGTGGTGATGGTGGTGATGATGATGATGACAGTGATAGTAATGGTAATGATGGTGATGGTGATGGTGATGGTGATGTTGATGACCCCTGTGTGCATTATAGCTATAACATACATGAGGTTCTCCATGTGGATCTCATGGAATGCTAGTTCTCTCATTTTGCAGGCGACACAGCAAAAGCTCAGAGAAGTCTTGAACTTTCTCAGTTTATGCTTCCAGCACCCTTGGGTGCTCTCACTCCCAGACCATCGTCCTCTTTTCTCCTTCCCCTTCTTTCTCAATCCTTTCCCAGGTTGGCATTCATTTGCTTCTGACTTGGTATCATGCTCATGCAGAGAGATTATTGGACTTGTTGTTAAACTCAATATTCTCCCACAGGTCATGGTAGCGGGATCCTGGGGCCACTGGTGATACCATTTACTCAGACTTTCCCTTCCACCCTGCGGGCAAGGAATGAACCACACACTTGATTCTTGTCAACGGGTGACCCTTCAGTCCCTCTGTGGGAAGATTCAGTTCGCCCAGATCGCCCAATAAAACATAAATTAACAGATGAAAACATGGACGTTCAAATGGCAACTCCCAGCCGATTTGCTGGTGCTGGAGCGTGGCAGAAAAGCACAGGGCAGCTTTGCAAAAGCTACTTAACTTCCCAAGCTACATTTCTTTTTCTTAAAAAAATGAGTGTGGTTATGCTTGATGTGCCAAGGTCTTTTGAACATCAAGTATGTTCATGTTCTTGAAAATGCAGCATACCCATTAGCACAGTGAAGAGCTTTGTAGAACTCTGGGGTTATATTACCTTCCTCACCCGACCCCATCCTCCACTTTGCTCATGTTCTCCCTCCAGGTCAGTGCTGGCCAGGCTTCCAGACACAAGTCCCAGAGCCCCAGGGATCACCGTGTGTTTTACATTTTAATTAAGTCCCTCATCCAGCCATAAGTCATACTTCCGTTGTTGTAGATGAAAATCATTGCGGACGCAAGGCCATCTAGCTTTTCACCTGTGTTGTCTTCTAGGCGTTTTATACCTGTGTTTTACATTTAGGTGTGTGATCCGTTTAAGGTTAACTTTCGTGAAGGATGTAAGGAGCGTGTCTAGATCATTTTTTTGCAGGTGGGTTTCCGATTGTTTCATTTGTTAAAAAGACCATTTTCTCCATTATATTGTCTTTATTATTTTGCAAAAGAGAAGTTGATTATGTCGATGTGTATAAATATTTCTCTCTTTTCCGCATCCAGCGCGGCTAGAGAGCGGGGTTCCTGAGGAGTAGGGGCGGCTGGGGATTGAGAAAATGAAAGAAAGAGTGTCCTCTGATGGAGAGACAGGGACCCAGAGCCGATACAGTGTGTTTATTTTATACGTCAAAATACCAGGAAGTTTTACTGAAGCCCAAGACAAAGGAGATGATGTGCATTCTCGTGGCTTCTTTGTAATCGTCACTTCTGGGTGGGCCTGGATCATTGTGTTTATTCCTGGTGCTTGGCTGGATTTAGATCATGAAACCCACCCCCTGGCGCCTGAGCTGAAGGTCAGGCTGACAACACACCTGACTCTGGCAAGGTATGTTTCCAGGGCTGGATTCAGACGACAGCTCAGGGGCCGTTCCCAGGCGGTCTCTACAGATGTGGGTTTCTTTCTGGGGTCTTCATTCTTTTTCTTTCACCTGTTTGTCTTTTTTATTTATTTATTTTTTTCACCAACACCCTCTCCTGATTACTGTAGCTTTATAGTGTGTCTTCGAGTGAGGTAGTGTCTGTCTTCCAACTCTGTTCTTCCCCTTCAGTGCTATCTTGGCCATCTGGGTTTCCCCTCCATATGAACGTTAAGGTCAATCTGTTAATATGCACAGAAACAGCTTGCTGGCGTTGAACTGGGATTGTGTTGAATCTATAGACCAAGTTGGAAAGAACTGGCATTTTAAAACTATTGAGTCTTCCTTACCATGAACATGAACTATCTCTTAGTTTACTTTGTTCTCTGAGTTTTTTGGTTTCCCGCCACCTGCACTTTGTACATTTAGGTTGTCAAATTCATGGGCATGTAACTGTTCATAGTATTCTCTTTTTTAAATATATTTTATTGATTTTTTTACAGAGAGGAAGGGAGAGGGATAGAGAGTTAGAAACATCGATGAGAGAGAAACATCGATCAGCTGCCTCCTGCACACTCCCCACTGGGGATGTGCCCGCAACCAAGGTACATGCCCCTGACCGGAATCGAACCTGGGACCCTTCAGTCCGCAGGCCGACGCTCTATCCACTGAGCCAAACCGGTTAGGGCCATAGTATTCTTTTATTATCCTTCTGATGTCCATCAATACGCAGTGATACACTATGTTTCTTAACAGCTGCTACTTCCTATGTCTGAATGACCATCCCCTCTCCTTCCCTGTTGGGGATACACTCAACCTCCAAGACTTTTCTAAGGAGACACCTCCCTCCTCTTCCCCACATCCCACCCCACAGCTCCAGGCTCCTGCCTGCTGCCCTGTCCGGTGAGCGCACTCCCAGCCTTTTATTCGCAGCACCGTGGTTTCTCTCCCGTTTCCCTGCTTCCCCGTCTCCCAGCTCCTACCCCCCTCCTCACCCACCGACCCCCCCCCTGCCTCTTCTGCTGCCA